TTAACACAGGATGTCACGTGAAAGGCGCGCGCTTTTCGACCGCATGCTGAGCCTCAAGAAAGTCGACGTCGCCACGGAAGCGGGCGGAGCCACCGTTGTGCTAGTGGAACAGGACAAGCGAAGTCTTACAGATGAGACCCTTGAATACACCGCCGCAGCACTGGATTTCGCATGCATGTACGTTTTTGTTACCGACTTTGTCTTTTGACCGCATTTGTCATTTTTTATGGGCTTTAGAAAGAGCTACAATTTTCAAGTTGCCGATTGAGGTAAAACTGTGTGAATTATGCAGGTTCGTGCTGGCCAAACAAGGGGGCGACCGCGAGAAGTCTACACGAATTGTCACAACGGGGGCGCAGGGCGGCTTGTTGGCTACGGACTGCACGAAACAACACATGGTCCCGAACGCGGAAATCTCAAACATGCTGAACATGGATCTCGTTGTTTTCCCTTTGTGGGCAACGTAAGCATTATCCGCTTTAGCGCTTTGCATTATATGTACCCTCGGCTGACTCCCATCTTGCGTGCAATGTGCAGCGAAGAAAACGGCATCCCGGTTTGCAGCATCCTCGTTATTTTGGGGCCAAATCAGTTGCAGTACGAAAGGAACAAGGAATCGAGCACGCGAATCATCCACATCGGCCCTTGCGTGGGCCCGGACCCGCAGAGGTTGCAGGCTACGAACATCGTCGAGTAAGACTCGCCTCCTTATCGCGACGATTTCGTATGCTTTATTGCTGCGTCTAAACTCCGGTTCTGTGTTTGTGCTTGCAGATGGTTTAAGAAAAGCGTCGAGAAATACCATGAGACTGACGACGAGCCGAGCCTTGAATTTGCATGTGACCGAGCGCGACCTTTGAAGCGCAAATATATGGTACGTGGCCGCCCTAAAACTCCGGCCGCACGAGTAACCACTGTATCCTAACCATGCATGTGATTACTAATTCCCCGTGCAGGATCTCAGCTCCTTGGACAAGGTGAAGGCAGGATTCGGATTACAGGCTGTGTACGGGTTTTCGTGCATCCTCTCTGAATTCAAGGGAATTACGAAATTTCCGGGGGAAACCGTCCGTGCTGCGTCTGTAAAGGATTTGAAGCCTTTGCACGATAAGATTGTGAGGCACGCTCAGGATATCGCTTTTGAGATTCTCAACCACGAAGCTGTCGGTTCACGCGGCCACGGTGGGCCAGCGGGGGTCGCACATAAGCGATCCGGGGTTGCTGGAGCAGCGGACGCAGGCAAGGGCAAGGGTGAGGCCGACGGCGAGGAGGGGGGCAAGAATAATGGCGCGGGCAAGGGCGTGGGCGTAGGCGAGGGCGAGCGAGATGAGGATGGCGATGGCGAGGATGAGGGCGAAAACGAGGGCGATAACGAGGATTACGAAAACGAGTGGGAGGGCCATGTTGGTGGGGACGAACAGGGCGCGTGGTACGGCGAGGAGGAGGACGAAGGCGAGGGCGGAGGCGAGGGTGGAGGCGAGGCCGGGGGTGCGTATCGTGGTGTGTGGGGACATGCCGCAGGGCACAAGGCAACACGAAATTTGGGGCCGCGTTTGCCGATGCATGTCGGGGTCCGCAGTTTCGCGGATTGGCAGCAACGAGGCGACTGGGTCTTCGGTCTGAGCGTGCGAAGGTGCAGCGGCGGTCGGTGGACGAGCTATTAACGTGGCCTGTGCACACGCTCGCGCACGAGGTCGTCCGCCTCGACTATGCTCTCGAGAATTCGCAGCAAGACCTGGCTGACATGCGACAGGAACTTCTGGTGCAGCGAAAAAGAATCCGCGAACTTCTGGCAAAGATGGAAGATCAGAATGCAAGGTTGACAGGTTTTGCCGAGAAATGTGCTGGGAATTTTCGCAGATTAGAAGACATGGAGAGACGTGCTGCCAAGGATCTCGCGGATGCTGTGCACGAAGTGCGGACTGAACGATCCTCCGCGGCTGCGCAGCGCGGGTCGTCAGAGCGCACGGTGTTGAAGTTGGCCGAAGCGACTACTTCCCTCATGTCCCTGGTTTCGCAACGCGAATTTTCTTCGCTAGTAGCAACTGGGAGGGAGACAGGAATGGCTATCGCAGGTGAAAGGAAAGAAGCCGGATTGCTGGTTTCGGGACAAGACCGCCGAGTGGGTAAGGAATCTGTGGAAGCGACAACTGCAGAAGACAGGGGTGCGAAGCGTTGCACGGTCGTCACTGCAGCAAAGGGAACTACACCATCCGCGAAAAAATCTAAGTCGAATTCCGCCCCAGATGTCACCCGTCAGCCACCAACCGGAAACGTGGGAGGCTCTTCCAAAGCTACAGGCGATGTACATCACGGGTCATCGCAGATCGCGGCTGGTAAGGGTGATGTGGAGGTGCTGGAGGTCGAGGATCCGGACGAGATCGAGGCCACGATGGCAACCCAGGCGTTGCTTGCTTAACTCTGTGGTGGGAAGGGGGTTGCAAAGGTCGCCCCGAAGGAGAAGGATCTTGGGGTTGGCATAAGGGCAAACGCGAAAGGGACGGGTTGGACGCTGGAGTTGCACTATCTGAACCTGCGCTGGTACTTCGGAAGCTTCTCCGTTCTCGCCACCGCTCGATACACGGCCGCGGTGGTACAGCCCGTGTGGCACAAAAAGGTTCCGAGTGATAAGATGGTTCTGTCCAACGAGGAAGAGGAGAAGTGGACCGCGGATTTGGATGTTGCGCGACTTCTGCATCCTGGAGTGCTCGGTGTTATGTTCCTTCACGACATCTGCACCGGCGGCAGCAGGTGGGTTTTGCAAGTGAGCTCACGAATTTCGGGCTTCCATGTGGTGCGTTCCCTAATGTAGTTTTTGTGTTAATTTTCGTGGCAGGATCGAAAGTATGTTTTCGCGCTTCAGGCACACGAAAGATGGACCGGATAACCTGAATGACGAGGTGGCGGCCTCAGTTGCGTTGGGGCTTGAGGTGGCGTTGGACACAACTTACGTGAAATCCAAGGTGCCGGAGGGAGCTCTTGCCGGTGCCGTTGCGTTTGTGGTCACGTACCTGTGGCTGGTTTCCAAGGGCCGTCGTGATGGCGCCATCGCCGACACGGAAGCGAAACGGGCTGCCAAGAAGGCAGGAGCACCCGACCTGAGCGTCACAATCATCGTAGCCGCGTGGAAGAACTTTCGCGTCCATGTGAAAAAAAGCCAACATGCTGCCGCTGTTGAGAAGTTTGTGCTGGAAAGTTTCGCGGGAGCGGGCAACAAGAGTCCCGTTGACGAGATTGTCGATGTGGTGAGGACATGGTGTTACGATCCGGAGGTAGCCGCAAAGATGAAGGGAGATGGGATGTTCGTGGAGTGTGGCGAGGATCGCGCCAAAGCCCGGAAACGCGAAACTTTGCGTCCTCGCGTCAAGAAAACACCAGCGAAGGATGACGACATTGAGGAGATTTCTGATGAGGAGGCGTAACTTCCTGGTTGGAGTCAATGTTTCGCGTCTCTAGCGGGACAAGAGGTTTTGTTTTTCTTGTTGAACCGACGATTTCTCTTTTAGGCCTGGTTGGTGCAAATAACATGTTGCGTGGTGTGGGCTGTATATCTTCGCGGGTCACTGCTTTGTGCATATACGTTTCTTTTTGGTGCAAATAACATGCTGCGTGGTGTGTGTCGTAGAGACCGTTTTTAATGTGGAACAAACACGTGGAATACGATACCTTTTTGTCTTAGGGCGTAAAGAACTAGGAACCGAGGAACCGAATTAAACCTACGTATGAGACTCACTCGCGAATAAGCGCGGGTGTGATTCCGTATGCAGTGCGAAATGTTCCGTAGAGCGCGACATGTTTCCTAGAGCATTGATTGTTCCTCTGTTTTTTTGTTGGAAAGCCGGCCTTCTCAAGATAAACAGTGGTCATAAATCGAGAGCACAAAAAGGTAAGTAAAGGCTGGCAGGTTATCGAAAAAGAAACCATACAACCGAAAATGGATCGGAGCAAAAGGAAACTCGAAATTGAGCTATCGCCCCGTTTATCACTCGTTGCCTGCCGCATTTGCCTTCCGTCGTCCCCCTTTCGTGGGTTGAGGAAAATGGAGCATCCCACTCTGATACGTGTAAAGGCTTTGTGCCGCAAGACAGCACTCGCACCAGTACACCAGCACCCTCGAAACCACTTTCGCCATTTCAACAGCCTGTGTCTCCCCAGGCTCGAGATCCACAAGGTTGAGAATAGCCTTGGTGAGTACCACTTCCCAGTCTGCCTTTTCGTGCGTTTGGTTCATGACAGATTTTAAAGCCCACACTCCGAGCCGAGCCGTTGAGGTTGCTCGAAACGCAAGGCTTCCCTCGTTAAGCGTGCCACGAGCCGCCTCATCCGCACCCTCCGCCCAGTCTTGGTGGGGAATGCCGATCGAGGCACACCACAGGGTATAGAGGGTTGCAGCCACTCCCGCTGCATAGACCGCGGAACTGACACTGAATGGGGCCGACACCAGCCCAACCCCTCCGTGCACCAGCGCCTGTCCAATCCCCGTACAGACACCCACCTGGAAATGTGCGCCTTCTTTCACCCGTGCGTAAGCTTTTTTCATCACGTTGTCGAAGCTGCATAGTAGGGGTGGATACGAGGTTAGTTATGAAGAACGAAAACATGTTTTGTAAGCATGCTGAATCAACACGAACACTCACTTTTCGTATTTGTCCAGGTTCAATTTGTTCATAACACTCCAGACACCTGTCGGGAGTTCACGAGCGAATTCGAGGTGGACCGCCCACTCTCCAACCTCGACAGGATCCATGCCGTAATGGACCATGTCCGTGTCGGGGAAATAGGCCATCCAACACACGGCCACCGTGGAAGTCGCGCAGTTTCTTCTCCTTGAAGCTCCCCATGTTCCTCTTCACACCTCCGACGGTCTGCTCCGAGTTGTAGCGCACGGACACCACCCCGTCCTTGTTGGTCTTTTTGCGTGTAGTAAGACCACTCGATCTGAAATGCTTCGTTTCCCCCCATCGCTTCCCTAGCTCGTCTGGTAGTACGTCAATCCTTCGCTATGCCACCTCGTCTGTCGCCTCTCCCAATGTGGGTTGCACATTCTGATTTCTCGACACATTTTCACCGACTGCATCCTCTGACTGCGCAGCTCCGTAAGACCCCTCATCTGCGTCCATGTTCGTTCCCTGTGGTCTATGCGAGCTCTTTTCGAAGGCGGTTGAGTCTCTGAATCAGCAGGGCCTGTCAGATGTACCCAATCATCTTGCTCCTCCACCAGGTCCACTACTTGCAGTTGTGCTTCCGGAACCATGCTAAGCACATTTAGAATCCCGGCACACACTACACCTTCCGCCTCTTCTCCCTGCCCTTGCTCCGCTGCCGCATCCACATTCTCCCCCGCAATTCTTCGCCTTTCCTTTTCCATTTTCTCCGTTTCTGCCACTAACTCCTTTTGTTGCATCTCCTCTTCCTTCTTTGCGGCTTCCTCCAACTGTGCAATACGCTCCATCTCCTTCTGCGCTTTCTGACGCTCTATTTCAAGGTCCTTTTTTTGCTTTTCGGCCTCCAACCGCTTCGCTTCAGCGAGCTTTGCTATCCGCTCACGCTTTGCCTCCAACTCTGCCTCCAATTGTGCCCGCCTCTTCACCGCCTTCGCGTGCTCCTCCCTCTTTCGCTTCTCCTCGCTTTCGCGCTCGACCCGCCTTTCCTCCTCTCGCTTCCTTCTCTTCCCTCTGCCTCGTCTCTTCTTTTTCGCGCTGCACCCTTTCCTCCTCCCTCTTCTGCTCTTCCTCTTCCCTCTGGCGCTTCTCTTCCTTTTCGCGCTCGACCTCTCGCTCCTCATCCCTCTTCCTCTTTTCCTCCTCCCTCTGCCGCTTCTCCTCCTTTTCGCGCTCCGGATTTTTCTCCTCCCTCTTTCGCTGTTCCTCCTCCCTCCGCTGCTTCACCTCCTTTTCGCGCTGCACCCGCCTCTCCTCTAGCATTCTACCCTCATCCTCACCCCTCTGCCGCTTCTTACCCGATTCGCGCTGGTCCCACACACGATGTGCCTCCACCATTGTATTTCCCACCATCCATGCTTGCTCCCTCTGACATGCAGTCCGCTTGCGCGTTTCGGCCGCCAACTTCTCCAGGCTCTCCTTCTCCTTCTCTTTCTGCAACTCCTTCGCCGCAAACGTCTCTCCCCAGTCTCTTCTCACCGGCCGAGACAAGTCAACATCTGCCACACCAGCGCCCACCTCACACGCCTCACCCACCTCACCCGCTTCGCCCTCGGGAGTCGCGACAAACCTTTCCATTACTTTTTGTGCAGCGGCGATAGGGATGTCCGATGAGTCTGCTTCGGCCTGCGATCGCGTGGAGTTTGGCGTGGCCTCTGATCTGGCGGCGTCAGGATTTCCGACGTAGATGGGTCCAGTCCGCCCTTTGAGATTTGTTCCGGGTGGTCTGGCGGCGAGAGGATTTCCGACGTTGATGGCTCCAGTCCGCTCTTTGAGCTTTGTGGCATCTGGTCTGGCGGCGAGAGGATTTCCGACCTTGATGGCTCCAGTCCGCTCTTTGAGCTTTGTGGCATCTGGTCTATCGGCGAGAGGATTTCCGACGTTGATGGGTCCAGTCCGCTCTTTGAGCTTTGTGGCATCTGGTCTGGCGGCGAGAGGATTTCCGACGTTGATGGGTCCAGTACGCCCTTTGAGCTTGGTGGCGTTTGGTATGGCAGCGAGATGATTTCCGACGTGGATGGCTCCAGTCCGCCCTTTGAGCTTTGTGGCATCTGCTCTGGCGCCGTGTGGATTTCCGACGTTGATGGGTCCAGTCCGCCCACGGAGCTTTGCTGCCAATCCTGCAAGAGCCTTCTGAATAGCTTTGAAACTCCGAGAGTTTTGGTCTTCCGCAACTCTGAGATCCTCCCACACTGTGTATACGCTATTTTCAATAGCCTTTTCGAGGTATTCGATGGAGACGGATGCGATCGTGGACTCAAGCTTTCCCCCTTTTGACGCTTGCTCTACCGCCTGCGCCACTACACCCTTCAGCCTTTCCAGAAATGCCTTGGAAAACCCCTCGAGCTTTTCCTGCAATGCTTCTACAACCGCCGTTGCAGCTGCTAGACCTGCATCAGCTGCTGCCGCTCGTGCCTCGGCCGTAGATGTCGAAAGAGCAGAACGCATTTCGCGAAGCTCCTCGCGCTCTCGGACAACAGAATCCTTTAGCATGTGGTACTCGTGTGTCAAATCATCGTAGTCCTACAAATACCGCGTTTCCCATCCCTGCATCCGCGCACCAAACTGGCGAATCTCGGCCATGCAGTCGCTGAAGCGAACACCTTGTTCCGCCGAAATCTTGGCCACTGACCTCGCCACCATTGTCAGACGCCGCATTAACTCCCGTATGGGTTGCACCCTGCCTCTAGCTGCGATGCGGTCTCCGGCCTCCTCGAATCCACCCGCCGTCTCCTCAAAAACCTGGGGCCAAGCTTTCTCATGTTCCTGCAGTTCCCTCTCCAAGGCCACCCATTCACCCTCCTCCAGTTCCTCGCCCTGCCCCGCAGCAGGATTCTCTGCCGCACGTGGACGACTCCTCTGAATAGGGAGCGCACTAGCCGCACTCTCCTGCTCCTCTTCCACCCATCCACCCGCATGCCTCAGCTGATTCTCCCTTCGGTGCGCTTCCTCTACTCCAAATCCCACCCCACGCCAGACATGCTCCTCCGCAACTCTCTCACCCTGCGGTATTAAACGCGCTTCACCCTCTCGCCGACCAGCTTGCCTTGACTGCTCGAGCCTCCTTCGGTCTCCCTCGCCAACCCTGTTCCGTCCTGTTTGATCATCACGCGGGCCACCTTTCTGCAGGATGCCCTGTCTCGGTCCCAAATCCGCTGCCCTACCTCGCGTTGTCCCCGGCTGGCCCTCGGTTGTCTGGTCGCCTTTCACCCCTAGTGGAGCTCCTTCCCCGGCAGGTCGCCCCATCTGCGATTGAAAGACCCTCGCGCCCCTATAGGCCTCGTTCGTGTGACGAGTTCCATCACCACGCCGCTGCCCTCCGGCACATTGTTCACCCAACCCAGCAACCTCTCTCTGCCTTTCGTGCCTCTTCGGAGCGCCCCCATTCACACGCCGATCGTTCTTCTCCCGTCGATCACTCTGACGCTCCAGACCAAGATTCTCCCCGGCTGCACCCATCTGTCTTGCTACTTGCCGTTCGCGCTGTAGACTTAGAAGCTCGTGCTTTCGGCGGTCGCTTTCGGCTCTCTTCCGTTCCCGTTCCTGCCCCTTCTGAGCCTCCTTCCTTTCGCGCGGTTCTCTCTCACCAGCCTCCACCCTCTGTTGCTCTCGCTCCCCTTCCCGTGGCTCATCTCGCGCTTTCCGCTCTCTGGCCTCCAGCCTCTTACGCTCCCGCTCCCCATTTTCCCTTGCTTCCTTTTCGCGCGCCTGTCGATCCTCGACATCAAGCCTATTCCGCTCCCGTTCCTCCTCCCTATGCCGCTTCTCCTTTTTTTCCCGCTCTTCCTTCCTCTCCTCCTCCCGCTGCCGCATATCCCCTTTTTCGCGCTCTGCCTATTTTTCCTCCCCCCTTTTTCGCTCTTCCTCCTCCCTCTGCCGCTTCTCCTCTTTTTCGCGCTCAACCTGTTCCTCCTCCCTCCTCCGCGCATTCTCCTCCCTCTGCCGCTTCTCCTCCTTTTCGCGCTCCACCTTCTTTTCCTTCTCCCTCTTCTGCGCTTCCTCCTCGCGCTGCCGCTTCTCCTCCATTTCGCGCTCAACCTGTTCCTCCTCCCTCTTCCGCGCTTCCTCCTCCCTCTGCCGCTTCTCCACCTTTCCGAGCTCCGCCCTTCTCTCATCCTCCTTCTTCCGCACTCTCTCTTCCCTCTGCCGCTTCTCATCCTTTTCACGCTCCTCCTTCTTTTCCTCCTCCCTCATCTGCTCTTCCTCCTCGCGCTGTCGCTTCTCCTCCTTTTCGCGCTCAACCTGTTCCTCCTCCCTCTTCCACGCTTCCTCCTCCTTCTGCCGCTTCTCCTCCTTTTCAAGCTCCGCCTTTCTATCATCCTCCCTCTTCCGCGTTTCCTCCTCCCTCTGCCGCTTCTCCTCATTTTCGAGCTCACCCTGTTCCTCCTCCCTCTTCCGCGCTTCCTCCTCCCTCTGCCGCTTCTCCTCCTTTTCGCGCTCCGCCTTTCTCTCATCCTCCCTCTGCCGCTCTTCATCCTCCCTCTGCCACTTCTCTTTTTCGCGCTCAACCTGTTCCTCCTCCCTCCTCCGCGCTTTCTCCTCCCTCTGCCGCTTCTCCTCCTTTTCAAGCTCCGCCTTTCTCTCATCCTCCCTCTTCCGCGCTTCCTCCTCCCTCTACCGCTTCTCCTCTTTTTCGAGCTCACTCTGTTCTTCCTCCCTCTTCCGCGCTTTCTCCTCCCTCTGCCGCTTCTCCTCCTTTTCAAGCTCCGCCTTTCTCTCATCCTCCCTCTTCCGCGCTTCCTCCTCCCTCTGCCGCTTCTCCTCTTTTTCGAGCTCACCCTGTTCCTCCTCCCTCTTCCGCGCTTTCTCCTCCTGCTGTCGCTTCTCCTCCTTTTCAAGCTCCGCCTTTCTATCATCCTCCCTCTTCCACGCTTCCTCCTCCCTCTGCCACTTCTCCTCATTTTCAAGCTCCGCCTTTCTATCATCCTCCCTCTTCCGCGCTTCCTCCTCCCTCTGCCGCTTCTCCTCATTTTCGAGCTCACCCTGTTCCTCCTCCCTCTTCCGCGCTTCCTCCTCCCTTTGCCGATTCTCCTCCTTTTTGCGTTCTGCCTTTCTCTCATCCTCCCTATGCCGCTCTTCCTCCTCCCTCTGCCGCTTCTCCTCTTTTTCGCGCTCAACCTGTTCCTCCTCCCTCTCCCGCGCGTCCTCCTCCCTCTGCCGCTTCTCCTTTTCGCGCTCCCCCTTTTTTTCCTCCTCCCTCTTTTGCTCTTCCTCCTCGCGCTGCCGCTTCTCCTCCTTTTCGCGCTCCACCTTCTTTTCCTCCTTCCGCTCATCCTCCTCCCTCTGCCGCTTCTCATCCTTTTCGCGCTCCGCCTTTCTCTCATCCTCCCTCTGCCGCTCTTCCTCCTCCCTCTGCCGCTTCTCCTCTTTTTCGCGCTCAACCTGTTCCTCCTCCCTCTTCCGCGCTTCCTCCTCCCTCTGCCGCTTTACCTCCTTTTCGAGCTCCACCTTTTTTTCCTCCTCCCTCTTCTGCTCTTCCTCCTCGCGCTGCCGCTTCTCCTCCTTTTCGCGCTCCACCTTCTCCTCCTCCTTCCGCTCTTCCTCCTCCCTCTGCCGCTTCTCCAGCTTTTCGCGCAACGCCTTCCTCTCATCCTCCCTCTGCCGCTCTTCCTCCTGCCGCTTCTCCTCCTTTTCGCGCTCCAGCTTACTCTCTTCCTCCCTCTCCAGATATTCCTCCTCCCGAGAACGCTCCTCCCGACCCAGATCATACCACTTCTTTGTTCGTGCCTCCCGTCTCTGATACACGACCCTAGTCTCCAGTTCCAACCTCTGCACCTCTTCCTCCAATTCGCCTACGACATTCAGACTCCCCTGCCCGTCTTCCAAACCCTGACACTGATCCTGTTGATCATTCTCGACGGGGAGATGCACTGCCTGTAAAGCAGTTGCAAGCTCCTCCTCCATCATCTGATCCTCTATCATCTCCTTCTCCCTCCTCTGCTGGATGGCCTCCTTTGCTGCCCTCTGCTGCGTCTCCCTCATTCCACGCAATATTTCGCGCGCACTCTCCCTCTGAACGGGTGGTTCCTCAGTATCCATCAGCTGACGCTTCCCATCTGCGACGCTCTGACACTCGTTGGCCAGACCAATTCGAACGCCGTCAGCAATCAGCGCACCCACAGCGACTATTTCCGCATCAATCTCTGGCGGGAGACCTGTGTCCTCTGCGACAGGCCCATGTTGGTCCAAGTTGTCCTCCTCTTCCTCTCGAGCAATTTCACCACGTTCTACTTTGGCGAAATACGTACCACAGTCTTTGAGTATCTGCGCCAGAACATGCTCTCGACGGTACTGTGGTGTTCCCATGACGAGGAATTTTTCGTCTCTCGTCCGCTGCTGCAGAATCTCGTCGAAATGATCCAGTATCTTGCACCACTGATATGCCACGTGAAGGCCTGGACCAACCTCCCTCTGGCTGACTGCCTGAGTTAGCTTCTGCATGAAACGGATAAGGAATCGCGTAAGCATCTGTCCGTTCCAAAAAAAAACAGTCTCAAGATTCGTACAGTTGAACTTACCGCCGTTTTGTCGAGCTTCCACCCGCTTTTGATGCGGGCCCGAATGTTTCGGAAAACTTCCTTCGTCTCCCCTTCCGAGATCGTTTGCCCTCTTGAATACTCCATCAAGAGCTGCAACTCCAGCCACCTGCGAAAAATGTGTTGTTTCGACGAATTCAGTCTGCGCCGTATAAGTTGGCAATACGCACAGATGAACCATTTAATACGGATACCCACTGGACAATCTCTTGGGCGAGAACAGCGTGCTTGTGTGTCGAAGAACACACTTTCGGGTCGAAATGCAGGAGACGCGTCTGAACCGGTGACTTCGGTTTGTCCCACAGACTGTCGAGGCGTACCAGAAGAAAGAGGCTACAGCGCGCCCGAGGCTCGGCAGTGATACTGCAAGGGGTGGTGGGGCGAAATGAAGACATACAGAACTCGTTATCGAACAAAAGATTAACTTTTCGCTTAACAACGTTTTCGAAGAACGTTTCGAAACTCGAACTCACCTGGACCACAGCGGGAATACGCAGAGCTGCTTGCCAAGGAGACCAGTGAATCTGTCAGGACCCATAGGTTCCACAGGGACTTTCGCCCTGGCGAGGTTGACCTTACTCATGGGGACAATTTCGAACTTCGAAAGCTGCTCCGCGGTCAATCTTTTTTTTGCAAGCATCCTGCCCATCATGTATAGACAAACGCTCGATTCAGCCAGCACATTGGTGGAGGAACATAAACTCGATAGTTGATGAATCATGCGGAGCACACATGCTAGGCAAAAAGCCTATCTCTACAGAGTACAGATGCGAAGGACATTTCTCTAACACAGACACAGTAAACAGAGTATTCACCATGAGTAGCGGTTGGAGCTCTAACTAGGGCTACAATTTCGAGACACTATTTGTTTCGAACTGTCAACATCTATTACAGCGCATGTCGTTCGAGAACAGCTTACAGCAACACGAAGTTGAGGATGTTCTCGGACCACTCCTCAACCTGGTCGCGAATGTTTCCGAACTCTAAACGCGACAGCCGCACACGAAGACCAGCCCCCTCGAGCTCCATCGAGGGCTCCGTCGGAACGGAAAGTGGGAAGCTGAGTCGCAGAACTGAAGAGAAGAACAAGGGGAAGTGAATGAGGGGGTGCAAAAAGAATAAATGACCTAACTCTGACATTTATACCTAGCATTTCTGAAGGCCGCTCCCCATTTCGGAGGGCGTAACCCGAACGTGTATTTTGTGTAGATTGTGTCGGGGTCGTTACGAAATCGTACCCCAACTCACCTGCGCGCCCCCAGATCGAGGTGGTACTCAGCCAGTTCTTATCCATTCCAAGAAGTTGTACTGCCGATGCCCTCTAATTCAGCCCCTCGAAATAGATAGGTGATGCACAAGCCATCCCAGCTCTAAAAAGCCTTCTAAACTCAACAATGAACCATGCACAAACAACACGTTTGCCTTTATGTTGGCCAGATAATGACTTGGTATGTACCACTGACATACTTGAGGTAGCTAACACTGACCAAAATCACAAACTTTTTACAACTTTCACAAATGATTGAAACTTGTAGAGGACTACTAGAGGAGTCAGAATATACAAAAAAACCTTGAAGAAACCAACCACACAAGAGTAAAACCTCCTTGGAAACATCATTTTGGGCAATGGTTTTTAGCCGATTGCATGGCCTATAGCTGCAAATAAAGAGCTTTAACTACATCCAATAGGAACCTTAAGACGTCCTTCATCAAGTTCTGTAAAAAAAAAACACCCCTAAAAACGACCTCCAGATTCACATATTCCAGTAATACAACATTACAAGATATCAATTGCAAAGAAATAGTTTTACAAACAGAGAAAACATTTACTGTACCACTAGACTTTCGTTCTCCCAAGCACCTTCGGACTATTTCGCGTATGTCGTCAGCCGTCAACTGTCAGTCGTCAAATTTCACTGCTAGCGACGTGGTTACCGATCGCGCTGTCTACTGTTCACTCCGTTGAAATGATTGGCGAAAGGGTTACCCTTCGCCAATCATCTATTTGGAAATAGATAAAACGGCTGAATTGCAGGTCGAGCTGGGTCTAGATTTTTCATTTCGCCTCGGGCAAATTGGGGGAGTGGGTCTATAGGCTCGTCGTAGTGCCCGAGCCGCGTTTTCCCCAAGGCCACCCACATCTATTTCGGGGAATTGTCTTGAGACCTAGAGCTGGATCGCGGGTTACCAGCCAATGCAGGTGGTTTGGGAACGAGGGCTGTGGTGGCGGGGACAGTGCTCCTACCTGAGAAGAGCATGTTACGGTTTACATTTGTCGTAACAGTTTAAATTATAATCAAACTAATGTAATGTCCAACCAACCAGTTAGTCAACCCACAAAGTGTTAGTAACAATGGCCGCAAAAGAGTACGCATCCGCGTTACGCTCAATAATCTTCTGTGTCGAAGCACCCGATCCATGGCCTGCCTTCACATCTACTCTCAACACAATCGGGCTGATCTGATTTCCTTCACCATTTGTGCTGCAGGGCTCGAGGAGCAAGGAGGTGAGGTGCGCACAGGAGATGGAAGGTGTATTGGAGGTGAATCTCGAACTCAAGGGAGAGGGAAGGGGAAAGCCAGGCGTAGCTGCGGCGCGAGCATGTTCACCCATGCATCAGCACATGCTGCAAGCCACCCACCTGTGCTGTGCACCAGCACGACTGTGCATCACAATTCTTCTCCCACCTATACACTAGTGCCCACCTACCCACCCACCCACCCACCCACCACACCAACCACCTGTGCAGCAACACATGCTGCCACCCACCTGTGCACCAACACATGCTGCCAACCACCTGTGCACCAACACATGCTGCCACCCACCTGTGCACCAACACATGCTGCCACCCACCTGTGCACCAACACATGCTGCCACCCACCTGTGCACCAACACATGCTGCCACCCACCTTTGCACCAACACATGCTGCAGCTGAGCCGCGAACTTGAGAGAGCGGGAGGGACCCACCCACCACTGCATCACAATTCTCATCCCACTTTCGGGCCAAAACCCACCCACCCATCCCACCACCCACCTGTGCACCAACACATGCTGCAGCTGAGCAGCAAATTTGAGGGAGTGGGAGGGCGGCACGCGGTCGTCATGGTCGCCCGTCAGCAGCATCACCGCCGGGTACTGCCGCCTGCGCTCTCCCCACTGCCGCTTCACTGCTGCCATGTCAGCTTTTGCTGGCACATCAGCGGAATCTGAATGCGTGCATGTGATGTTGTTGCTGCTGGTGGGGCTGGCAGCTTCCCAGGGCCGCCTCACGTTGTGCAGAGGGGAGTAGCTGCAAAGCAGGGGAGGGTGGGATAGGAGAGATGGGAAGAAAAGACGCCTCAAATCAGAGCACACCTCACATTGTGCAGTGGAGAGTAACTGTTAGAGGGGTAGGAAGCAAGTAGGAGATACATCAGATGCAGTGAAGAGAAGGTGAAGAGGGAAAAGGAACACATCGCACGGCATGCTTCTAGCCTCGCCATCTTGGCACTTCGAGAAATCTAAACTTGCGGCAGAATCTGAGAGCTCTGCTTTTAAGGCGCCTCAAAAGTAAACTCGCGGCAGATTTTGAGAGCTCTGGTTGGCAATTCCAGAAGCCCTTTTCATCTTGATCGTACGAGACTCCTAAACACACAACAAGGCCTTCTGACAAATTCTGAAAGTAACAGTAAAATTCCTTCCAATATTGGTGGTATGAGATGAGACTTTGAAACACACGGCAGTGGTACGGCAAGGCCTGTCTTGCATGATTGCCAAAACGCATGCTGGCTGCGTTGCCATCCTGAAAGGAAGCACTGTTAGCTTCACGGGGCATGCCTGAGGAGCGATTTGAGCTGGTGTGGGTCAATGGAGCAAACGGGGCCTCAAATAGATGCCATGGCGTTACGTGGCAGCACCTGATGGGCAGCGACTGTTAGCTCTACGTGCTGTGGCATGCCTGAGAAGCCACTTGAGTTGGTGCGGGTCACTGGAGCAGCCATAATCGGAGGTCCACGCATGACCGACGGTGAACTCGTGCAGGGAGATTGTTTTTGATATGTCTCAAAAACAATCTTCTTTCACGTGGCTGGAGCAGCCACCCTTGGAGGTCCACGCATGGCCGACGATGGTGAACTCATGAAGGGAACTTGGTGACAGAGGCACGAGTGGAATACGATGCACTGCTATGCGACGCCAAAGGCGTACCTGAGAAGCCATTTGAGCTGGTGCGGGTCACTGGAGCAGCCATACTCAGAGGTCCACGCATGGCCGATGGTGAACTCATGAAGGGAACTTGGTGACAGAGGCACGAGTGGAATACGATGCACTGCTATGCGACACCAAAGGCGTACCTGAGAAGCCATTTGAGCTGGTGCGGGTCACTGGAGCAGCCATACTCAGAGGTCCACGCATGGCCGATGGTGAACTCATGAAGGGAACTTGGTGACAGAGGCACGAGTGGAATACGATGTGTTAAAATATATATTGTGTAGCATGCCAACACATGTGACTGTACACCAATTGTGGTGTACAGTTGGGTTGGGACTACACCCAACTTTGGGTGTAGTCTTGCACTTTGGGGTGCCAATCCACCCAATTGTGGTGGAGCCCCCAAATGCAACCCTCTTGACTTGTGGGTACCTCACTTCCCACAATTGAGGTTACCCCAAGCCAAGTGGGCCTAGGGTTGCCTCACTTCTACAAAGTGTGGGCAACCCAACCCACTTGACCTATGGTTCCCTCACTTCCCCAAGTGAGGTCAACCCAACCTATGGTCACTTTCATCCTTCCCTTCCAACCTTCCCTTCCAACTATGTATGCTAGGTTGTTCCTCTAATCTAATGACTTGTTCAATTCACAATCTTCACATGGTATAGAGCTAGTTGTTCCTAAGCCTTTTCTCTCCCTCCCTCAAAGTTTTTTCTTCCCCATGGGCCCACCCCACAGCCACAAACCCCCTACGTGTGGCTCAACCTAGCATCTCCTTGGCACGACCTACGTCGTCGCCGCCCTCCCCTCCCTCCGCCGTGATTGCGCCCTCCTCGCCTGCGGATCCCACCGCCGCGAGTGCATCACCGCCCCCCGTCGCCGCGACACACCGTCGCTGCCCCCCCCCCCCCCCCCTCCCCTTTTTTCCGCCGCCGCGCCTTCTCTGGCGCCGCCTGCACATCCCGCCGCGACGCCTCGTCGCCGCCTCCTCCTCCCCCTGCCGCGACCCCCCGTCGCCGTCTCCCTCCCGCCGCCGCGCCTACTTCGGCGTCGCCCGCGCATCCCTCCGCCGCGACGCCCCGTCGTCGCCTGCCCCTCCCGCTGCCGCGACGTCGCGTCGCCGCCTCCCCCCACCGCCGCCGCGCCTTCCTCGGCGCCGCCTGCGCATCCCGCCGCCGCGACGCCCCGTCGTCGCCTCCTGTCCCGCCGCCGCGACTTCGCGTCGCCGCCTGCACTCCCCATCGCCGCGACCCCCCGTCGCTGCCTACGCATCCCGCCGCCGCGACCCGCTCGTCGCCGCCTGCACGATCCGCCGCCGCGACTTCGCGTCGCCGCCTGCACGACCCGCCGCCGCGACTTCGCGTCGCCGCCTGCACGACCCGCCGCCGCGACTTCGCGTCGCCGCCTGCGCATCCCGCCGCCGCGACCTTCTCGTCGCCGCCTGCACCCCTTGCCGCCGCGACCTTCTCGTCGCCGCCTGCACCCCTTGCCGCCGCGACCTAAAGTCGCCGCCCGCGCGACCTCCTGCCGCGACCTGCTCGTCGCCGCCCGCACATCCCGTCGCCGCGACCTAACAATCGCCGCCCCCGCATCCTACCGCCGCGACCTGCTCGTCGCCGCCCGCGCATCCCGCCGCCGCGCCTTCCTCGTCGCCGCCCGCGCATCCCACCGCCGCGCCTTCCCCGTCGCCGCCCGCGCATCCCTCCGCCGCGCCCTCCTCGTCGCCGCTCGCTCATTCCGCCGCCACGATTCCCTCGTCGCCACCCGCGCATCCCGCCGCCGAACGTTCCTCGTAGCAGCCGCCTCATCCCGCAGCAGCAGCGTCATTGGCAGCAACAGCTTCGCCCACAGCTACACCTGCGTTCTCCCTCCCCCTCCCCCTTTCCTCCTCCTCTCCTCCCACGCAGCAGCAGCCGGGACAGCTCAGCAGCCACAGCAGCAACAGCGGCAGCAGCGGCAGCATTAGGAGCAGCGATAGCAGCGGCAGCAGCTGCATCCACCATCTTCCTCCCCCTCCTCCCCTCCCCCCCCCCCCCTCCTCCCTCTCAGCAGCAGCAGCGGCAGCAGCGGCAGCAGCGGCAGCGGCGGCAGCAGCGCCAGCAGCGCCAGCAGCGGCAGCAGCGGCAGCAGCGGCAGCAGCGGCAGCAGCGGCAGCAGCGGCAGCAGCGGCAGCAGCGGCAGCAGCGGCAGCAGCGGCAGCAGCGGCAGCAGCGGCAGCAGCGGCAGCAGCAGCAGCAGCCGGAGAAGAACTCCACTCCCCGCAGCAGCACCCCCCCCCCCCCCCCCCTCCCCCCCCCCCCCCCCCCCCGCCCCCCCCCCTCCTCCCTCTCGGCTGCCGCGGGTCCACCCGCCGTCGCCCTCCCACTTGACCGCCGCGGGTCCACCCGCCGCCGTCCACCTCGAGGCCGCCGCGGGTCCACCCGCCGTCGCCCCTCATGGCTACCACTCCTCCCCCTCTCCCCCCTCCCATTGACGCCTCCTCCGTCGACAAGCTTCAGCTTGCCGCGGACCGCTCGGCGATCAACTGGCATTCCTTCGTCGGGAGCATCCGCCGTGTTCTCCAAGATGCATTCGTCGGACCCTACTGCGTCCTTGACGTCCTCCTCCGCCGCCCGCAAGCCCTCCAGCCCACGGCACCCAATCACCCCGGCGAACCCCCTCCACCCCCCATTCCTCCTGGTCCTCCTCCTCCTGAACCCACCTTGGAGATCGCCACTTCCCCAGCGCTCCAAGATGCCGCCGATGCCGCATTTCTCCACTATCGCCGCGAATACCTCATCCGCAAGGCGGAGCATGAGGTTGCGGTACATAACCACGACTTCGCGGTAGCGGAACGCGCCAATCGCCTGGCGCTCCTTGATGAGTACAATACGGCCATAGCGGACTACCTCCCTCGGAACATCGCATGGGCCACTGCTGACAACCGCGCCTGCACCATCCTCCTCGGCGCACTCCCTGATACCCTCATGCGCCGTTTCCAAGCTCGCGAGATGCGCGCCTCCCTCATCTGGGCCGAGCTCCAGGCCATGTTCGAGCGTCGCGACATCAGCTCTGTCGGCGCCCTGTTCCAGGAGTACTTCTCCATCACCCTCGCCACTTGTGATGGCGCAGTTGACTACGTGGGGCGCATGCAGGAGGTCGCTGATCGCCTTGCGGCACGCCAAGCTGCCCTCCCCGAGCCCCTGCAAATCCACCGCCTCCTCTACAACCTCACCCCGGACTACGAGTCCCGCCTCCATGCCTTCACTGAGGCCAACCCCATGGCCGGCCTCGACGACGTGGTCCAGTGGATCATTGACACGGAGGTCAAGCTCCGCACCCCCGTTGTCAACCTTACCACCCCTCAGTCCTCCTCCTCCACCTCCCTCAACGCTACGCAGCCGTGCAACCAGGGTGGTCGCAGCGGCGGCGGCGGAGGCCGTGGAGCGGGTGGCGGTGGTGGTGGTGGAGGCCGTGGTGGTGGCGGTGGTGGTAGTGGTGGCCGTGGTGGCCGTGGTGGCGGTGGTGGTGGTGCTGGCAGCGCCCCTGCTGGAGGTGCTGTGACTCGAGGCGGACGCCCTGGCACTCTCCCCCCATGCACATATGTGCGTCGCCATGGTCCCCATGCAGGTACCCCTTGCGGCCAGACCAACCATCCCCCCACCACGTGCTTTAAGGCACTCGACGACGCCTGGTTTGATCGCGGCAACACTGGCACCCCTCCTCGCTGGAACTCGGTCACACCTCGCCCCTCCTTAGTGGACATTCAAACCCTCCCCTCTTTCCTTCCTGCTCACCTCCGCATGGTTACCCCCTCCCCACCCTCACAGCTGCAGCAGTTTCAGCAGCACCAGCAGCAGCAGCACCTGTACTTCCACCAGCAGCAGCAGCAGCCGCAGTTTCTCCAGCCCCAGCAGCCGCCGCCGCCGCAGTTCTTCCAGCCACCGCCGCAGCAGCAGCAGCAGCAGTTCCTTCCCCCACCCTGGCAGCAGCAGCCACTCACCTTCGGCACAGCGGCCATGGCCGCTCATACCTCCCTTCCTCCTCCTCCCCCCTGGGGTTCCCTCCCCTCTGCCCCCCCCAGTGTTCCCGACACTTCTGGTAGTTTCCTTGGTATTATCA